GGCGGAGAGGAAAACATTGACCAGGGGGAGCAGGCCATGGTGAACACATCTGCACCTACAGACGCACGCACATATTGCTTTTGCATGTAGAACAAAAAAAAAAAAAAAAAAAAGGAAAAGAACATTACCCTTGCATGTAGAACAGAAGAAAATGAAAAGAACATTACCCTTGCATGTAGAACAAAAGGAAAATGAAAGGAACATTACATTGCATGTAGAACAAAAAGAAAATGAAAAGAACATTACCTTGCATGTAGAACAAAAGAAAATGGAAAGAACATTACCCTTGCATGTAGAACAAAAGATGAAAAGAATATTACATTGCATGTGGAGCGAGAGAAAATGGAAAGAACATTACCTTGCATGTAGAACAAAAGAAAATGGAAAGAACATTACCCTTGCATGTAGAACAAAAAGAAAATGAAAAGAACATTACATTGCATGTAGAACAAAAGAAGATGAAAAGAACATTACCCTTACATGTAGAACAAAAAAAAAAGATGAAAAGAACATTACATTGCATGAAAAGAATATTACCCTTGCATGTTAGAAAGTAGAATAGAATTGCATGAGACAAATGCATGGTGCATGTTAAATGATGTAATTGGGTTTAGGTGTCATTTACGGGTAAATGACAAATCGGTTAGGGGAGGATTGTGGCACCCTGCATTATTAGAAAAAAACTAAAGAAAAGAAATATTCATAGAAATATGATTTAATTTTTTTTATTCGGTTTATTAACCAGTTGTTAGTTTTTTAGACGAAGAATAATTGAGTTTCGAGAATAATTCTCTAATTGTACTTTAGGCGATCCTAAAGGAAAAAAAAAAGAAAAAAAGAAAAAAAAAAAAAAAAAAAAGGATGAGTAATGCAAAAGGCCGGTCATTAGCGAAAACAGGTGTCAAGAGGTATCTAGGCCAACGCGCCTGACCGAATTTCAAGTGACAATGGAAATTGTTATTTGGAAGAATAGAATTAAAGGTAATTAAAAGAAAGAAAGAAAACAGACTTGGTAAAAGTGTATGAACATATGTACGATTGATAAAAAATGTCGGTCAAAGCATCTGGCCTACTTTTTGTGTAGAAGACTCATTATCAATTTGGAGAAATGGGATTTTTTAGAACAATGGAAAACGAAATATTAATCGGAGAAAGGTGTCTTTTGGGATGAGAAGGTGACCGCTGGAATTGTATACAGATTCTGACCTGTTAAAAATTAGAACCCCACGATGATGAAGTGAAGACATTTTCAATTCAGATAATTAAGATTTTTGACTATCAGGTCTGAGCAAAAACAAAGAGGTGAAAACAATTATTCTTGGCTCACAGAAAGTGCCAGTAAGATGGAGAAAAATTCTTCCTGAAGTCACATCTAATTAGCGGCGGGCTGTTTTGACAAAAACCAAAAGGTGAGAAAGGCCGAGATTGTCATTTTTCGTGCGTGCGAAAAAGGCCAAATTGGATTTTGTTTTTTTTAGCAAGGTGTTCTTTCCCAGAACAAAGCCGGGATAAGCCACGCCCGATTGGAGACGTCACGAAGGACGGAGACGCCGTAACCAGAATCTCATTGGCCGAAAGCGGTCGTGATATGCGAAGAAGGAGGAGAAAGGACGCTCGATCAAGACCCATTGGTCGAAAACGGTCACCCTGACATACGAGAGACCGGGAGAGATGGGTATGCGCCTCCCCACCAGAGGCACTGTGAGGAAGTAGGGGTGAAAATAAGAGCGATAATGGGAAATCAGAAATAATGCGACTTTTGGAATTATCGAGAAAACCCTGACGCCGACAGACCCACCCCAGTTTGTTGCGGCGTCAATCGACGAAAAAGCAGGACCCCAATCGACGAAGAAGAAGAAGATTGCTCAAAAGAAATCAGTTCAGCCCCGCGGCAGAAGAAGAGTTGCAGAGACAAGAGGTCCAGGCCTCAGGATTTCAAGCAGAAAAGAGTTGCAGGCCAGACAGGCAGTAAAGTTGCAGGCCAAACAAGCTCAGTTCAGCCCCGGACGACATCGAGCTCAGATCACCTCGAGCAGAGAAGCAGCCATAGAAAAGTTCCACCTCAGACAGACACGAGAAATTGCAGGCGGAAGAAGAAGAAGTTAAGGCATAGAAGAAGTTCAGCCCAGGTCTCAAACAAAGAGAAAAATACGTTCAACTCAAGCGAAGAAGAATCAGCCGTGAGCGACTGGTAGAGATTAGCGCCCAGTGTCTAAAGACACTCCGACACACAGAGAGAAGAGTTCGAAGTCAGTTGGATGAAGAAGGAAGTAAGAATAATTTTTATATAACGAACATTAGATATAAAGGTTGTTACCCTTTTTATCAGTAATTTTGGTCTCAAGTTTTTTTTTTTTTTTTTACTTGTGAAACCGTCGAAAGCCAAGCCCAAGAACTGAAATCTAATCAAACGTGGGAAGCAGAAATCAGAAGTTACCCTGGTAACCAGAAAGTTGGGAAAGGCGAGGCTCCAATCATCTAACCAAACGTCACCTTGGAGCAGCAAGAAGAATCAGCGCCGTGACCGATTGACCCTGGACAAGTGCCGTCACTGGTTAGAGATTATTCGTAACCTCAGAAATTTTGTCCAAATGGCAAAAAAACTAAACCACTATGGTAATTAACTAATTAGCCCTGAAAACAAGGGTTAAAAATATATGAACAAACATACCAAAAAAAAAAACTATGGAAGTTTTATTTTTAGAAAAAACAAAATTTCTAGAGATTAGCAATAAGGCAATCTGGAAGTATAAACTAATTAATTAAGCCTGTAAAGATATGATAGAGGTGGCAGTCTTGATGCTGCGACAGAGTCTCAAACAAAGCAAGTGGGGTTGATGGATTAATAAGAAACTGTTTTTACATGAATCGACAAAACGATCTAATTCAAATGCATAGATATAAAAGGCAATATGTTGGAAATGGCCAGACGAGAGGGCCATGTTTTTTTATCAGTAAAAATTTTTGTTGCCTCGTGATCTGGGAACAGGATTTTTCAAAGAGTTTTTGATACCATTTTCGCATGGTAAAGTAGTGATAGGTGTAAAACATAGAACGTGGTGTTTTGTCGAACTAAAATTGCATGTGAGGCCCCAATCCAATGTGAGGAGAAAGCAGTTTTGATCCTGCAACCTCTCTTCATGGAAGGATCTAGAAACTCTAGAAATGGGTAATTTATTTTCCAAAAATGAGAAGTAATTAATTTTCCTGGACAGACAACAAAGGGACCCTTATTGGAAATCAGAGATTCACCAAGAACCACAGGCTGCGTCTAACCCCGCACTGGGTTTTGGTTGAAGTCCATATAAGCGAGTGCCCTCAGGCAGTCAGACAGCAGTAGGAGTTTGCGTTTTGCAGTTGGAGAAAGCTACAAGAGAGCTGACTGAGAGATTCCATGATTCCTGCCGACACGAGAACCTCCAACTTTCCCTTCCTACAAACAGCTACAAGTTATACTGACAAACAAAACTAAGACAACACCAAAAAACTAAACCAGTTGCCTTAGAAAGCCAGAACTTGCTGAGAAGTATAAAAGTTGGGAAGAAAACACATTCCTGTATATAACAGTCTAATAAAGGTTGATTTGCTTTATTTAAACATACCCAAACCTTTTTGGTTTTCATTTATTTCTTTTTACTTATGCGACGTCACCTCCAGTTCAGACTTACTTTACACAACAGCCCCCGTGTCTGATTGATTTCATCTACCTATGATCAAAATCACAATGTGGGTTGGTTAGACTTGAGATCAAAGTAGTTACTTCAGTAACCAGTCATTGAAAGCAAGCTGAGAATGACAGAGCTGGTGTCGAACCAGTTGCATCTGATGTGAAGCCGTTAGTTATTCGTGCCATTAGAATCAAATGACCATCCAATTTGGTACCCTGACCAAAGGATCCCACTGGGTAGTGATGACCACCGATCGACCGGGTCCCATATTGGTGGCCATGGCTAAGAGTCAACCCCAGAATGCCCCAGTAGGTGTCACATTTTTGTTATCTGATTCAAACTTCATAATTGATTAATATAAATTACCAAAGCATCAATACATAATAAAGATCAACAGGAAAATATAAAAAGTTGAGCCAATATTTAATAAAATTATTAAATTATAAAAAAAAATAAAAATATGCAAAATGTTTAATTGTATCAATAGAAATTGATTTATTAATTCAAATCAATAAATTATCAGTGAGAATATTTTGAACAAATGAAAATGAATTCTTCAAAGCATTGAGCACTGAAGTATATTTCTAAAGCAATTCAAGAGGCAGGACAAATTGGATGAGTAGTACATAAAAATATCTTATTGCCAGAATCTTCAACTATTTCAAGGCATCCATTCTGAATGACAACATTTGAAAGGGTATGTATTTCATTAAATAATAATGGAAAACTATATTTTGTTATAAAATATCAATGTTAATTAAAGAACTAATAAAAGTCTAAAAATAAACAAGGATTAGGCTTTGGACTATTTCTACAGATGGTTATATAAATTAATACCTGTCTAAATCTGCAACAAATCTGTGATATATTTGAATCAAAAGACCCTTATGAAACTCATTTGATATTCTAATATAGAAACTAAAATTGTGAAATTATGAAAAAATATGTATATTTTCATGTTTGGGCATCTGTATATCCAACCATGTTCTTTATTCTAAAACCAGCTAACAAACTTTCATTCTCCATTTTTATATATCTTTAACCAGTAATAATTACTAATGTTTCCACTAAAAAAAATTGAATAAAATTAAAAATTTTATTCTGTTCTTCATTTGGTAAGAAAACTGAATGAGAGAGCCCTGATAAATTCTTAAATGTCTATGTTGCATAAAAATTATGTAATTTCAGAAACCATTTGAAACAGTCTTCTTTGTTTTCATTTTTCTAAATCTACCACAGAGCAACATAAAACAATGTTTAAAAAAAGAAATTTTACTTAAAAAACTACAAGAAGGTTTGATTAAATGAAAAAAATCAAAAATATTTACTTACTGTTCCTTCTAAAGTTGGAGCAGTGACATTGTTTCGCTTTAGCTGAACACTGTCTAACAAAGGAAGAGGTGTCACATCCACATTCTGCTCATTGAAAATCTATAGAAATGAACAAAAAACTGAATCAAAATTTTTTTTTTCTTTTAATCATTTTTTAAATCTTCAACCAACTTATATTACCCAAGATAAAATAAACAAAATCATTTGGTTTTCTTCTAAAAGGATACATTTTTGCATAAGTAAGTGAAGTACACAAATGGCTGGTTCCTCATTTTTGAGTGCATCCATCTGCTAGGGTGGCTAGCTAAATCCTGTCACAGGCACCACCTCAGGCACATTTCTTTCTTCAACACACACATAACCAACCTGTGATTTTTATTGCAACTCTACTGAGCAGACTCCTTAGTTACAGTTTCTGATAGAGAAAGCACATAATTTGGCATGATCAAAAGTTTTGAACAAGGCATGAACTCTGATACCCATAATCAAGATTTGTGACCATACTAGCATAAATATTGAAGGCTTCATCTCCCTAATCTCACTCACAAGGTTTGGTCAACTTGTGGTGTGGGTTTCAGTCACTTTCCAGAGGTGTCACCTGCTAGGATTGTCTCTACAGGCTGATATTATCAAGAAGTCACCTCCTTAATAAATCAACTATAGTGAAATTTGAACAGGGGTGTCAGGTTTGGAATGCTAACATTCTAACCACAGCCATGTGTCCATAAATTTTGTATAATAAAACAAATAATCCACTGCTCCTTACCATAAAAATATTCAATGAGGTGAGATCAATGTTTCAGGAAAATTAATTTAATGCTGATTCCTGTAGATAACTCATTGTAAGTTCAACCTCAAATTTGCATAATCAGATTTCTTGTATCAGTTAACATGATCTTGATAATTAATAAGCTTAGTTTAATATGCCTAGGGGAAAATAAGGATAAGAAATTTGTGCAAGTGGGAAGAACTTACCTTAAAAATAAACATTCAAATTCGTGGCTTTTTATTATATCATGCAAATTTTAATGTGAATAAATCTCTAAAATAACTAAAATATAAACATAAAACAAGTAAATGTAAATTTTGGTTAAACTCTTCAAATAATATTTTTTTAAATCAATATTTTTATTAAAAAAATAATTGTTTAAAAATTTTCATACAGTTTTTCCAGCTTTTACTGTTTTATTCTTATAAAATTTTATTTGTAATATTTAAAAGAATTTCATGCATAGTCTGGTACAAGGCCACCATAATAGAGAACATTTAAGAATCATACTCATTATTAATGGCCTGTGAAATTAGTTTGCCAACAGCAGGTAATCAAAAGAGGTATTTTGTAGATATTTATTAATTTTAGCTTAGTCAGACACAAGTGAGTATCCAATGAAAATCAAATTCATTACAACTAGCATGTGAGCTTCATAAGTTTTTCTTTCAGCATTTCCCCCTTAGTAAATATTTAAACTGGAATAAAGTCACAGCATTTGAGCAACCAGTGAGGACTGAACTTATAAAACTAGCTTGACAGTCTTCAACGAAACACAAGCAAAGCTGCTTCAAGTGTGACACTGAAGCTGTGAGGTGAATAAACATTAATTCCAAGCAGATAAAAGGTTAAGCCCAAAATGAAATATATACTGAGAGATAGAGAGAATGGAAGACATTTTCCCTGGTAATGTGGAAGTGAAGAAAGGATCATCCGGGTTGACTCACCCCTATGAATTGGAACAATGCACCAAGAGTTTACTTTTTTTTATCTATCAAAAATCTGGCAGGTAGGTGAAGCAAATTGGGAAAAGGCTTTATCTCTTTCTTGGGAAATTAGAAAAACAGATGTCTTTGGAGAAAAGAGAATTATATTTTTGTTAGCAAAAACGAATTGAGAAATAAAAACAGAGAATTAACCTGCTGCAAGGGTTAGGATTATGAAAATCAATGTCATAACAGACAGGTAATCTAGTTTATGCTTTCGCTAAAACCCAATGTAGTGAAAATTGGAATGAAAATAATCCCCCACCTGATCGAAAATGGCAGCGTATATGTTCTGCATGCAAGGTTTATTTTTTTGACTGGAAAAAACATGGCTGCCTCTGGCAAGCTTATATTGCGAATGGTCACGTATCCTCCCGCGGACAGTCACGTAAAACCACGGAAAGTGAATTCACACATGCAAATGAAGGAGGGCAGAAAAGGACATAAAAACGCTGAACACTCGTCACTCCACAGAGAATCTTCTGCAACGTTGAAGAAGAATCATGTAAGGGAGAAAGCAGAGGCACAGGAAGAGATTATTGAGTAAATTGAGGGAGTTTATCAGTCGTTGCAGTTTTACACCAGGCACACCCAGTGAATAGTGTGTTTGTTCAGGAAGTTTGTCAGTCGTCGCAGATTTGCACCCGGTACAATGGCCCAAGCATTTGTTGAGAATAAACAAATATATTCAAATCGACGAAAACAAATTTGCAAATAATTTTTATCTATCGCTCAGAAGGTTAAAATGAGAAAGTGATCGAGTTTGTGTTTTCGCTGGACAAGTGGATCCAGGAAAGGAGTCAGAGAATTGAAATTAATGAGGAGAATAAGCCATGCCCTTTCTTCTATGCATTTTAAAAATTAGATTTGTCACAAAAACAATTATGCCAGCCCAGAGAAGTGGGCAGAGTTAGAATACCAAGAAAGAAGAAGGAAGACGCAGAATTTAGCACCTGCCCAACCCTCATGCAGTGTGAGATGTGAAGTGAAGCAGGTTGGAATTAAGGGAGGAGCAGTCCCTATGACTACTCCCAAGGAAGGTGGATAATTCTCCAAATTTGGAAAGTTGATTAAGAAAGCAAAAATAGGGAACAAAGAAAACTTTTATTGGAATTAATGAAAATTGGGGAATAACCGAATCCCCAGAACTCTTTGGCCCCACACCAGTTTTAGGCTGAAGTGCATATAAGCAAGTAACTTTGAGGAGCTCTGAGACTTTGGGCTGAGAACCCACATCAAGTGCCTCTGAAATCCACATTAGCTGCCAAGACTCCCTGATTCCAAGATTTTGAACTCAGCTCCTCCAAAAAAGTAAGACAAGACCCAGTGTCAATATGGAGATTAATATGGGAAGGGTTAATTTTTGTTGTACCAAGAGCTACATAAACCAAATGAAGATTAACCCCACGAATCTCTCATTTTATTTTTCATCGTGAAGATATTTTTTTTCCTTAATATAGCACCTGCTACAGCTTCAACCCGCACTGTGAGATTATGACCTTTGATTTTCCACTACTCTGAGATCAAGAACACAACGTGGGTAGAGTTGGTGTGGATCAAAGAAGCCAGCAACCAACAACCAGATGGACCAGCACAGAGTAATCCCCATGTTTAAAACATTGTTCTAAGACCCTGAGAACTGGACCACTAAACATGGTTACACCACCAGGTGTAGGCAGCAGCAAAAGCCATTATACAAGTAGAAGAGGATGAAAACAGAGTTTTTGGCATTAGATGCAAAAAAAGGGAAAAAGAAATAAAACAAGGAAAAGGAAAGAAAATTAGTCAGAACATAGTTATCCCACTGGTTCATCTTGAAAAAATTCATGAAAATTCCCGTGGAGTCATCAGTAACAAATTTAGTGCTGCTCTTAATTTTACAATACACACTCACTTACCTATATGAAGATCCATTTAAATATTGAATGATTAATGCTGGAGTTTGAAAAAAGTAAATTTGTTAAGAGATAAACTTTTTAATTTGATTAAAACAAGTAGAGCTGAAAATAAATAAGCAGATGTGAAGAGATTAAAATTTGGAAAGAAAAAAACAGGAAGGAACTGTAATAGAAAGATGTTACAAGACTGAAATATGTAAATTGGTGGATGATGGTTGTTCTTACTGACCTGATTTTGTTTTGATATAATGGTAGATTTCTCACTTTTGGTCATTCCACTCAGTAGTTGGCGCCGACCAAATAGGCTTGCATATTTGCTACTGGGTGGACGCACTCCCATTTTGGATCTACAAGGAAACATAACTCTAGGATGATGCAATTTATTTTTAAAAATTGAAAAATAAAAATGATTTCCATTTTGACTTTATTTTATCAAATGTCTAACAGTATTAACTTTAATTTTACATATAAAATAATATTAATATTGTTGCCATATCTGGTCTGGTGCTTCTGCTAGGTATCTTGAAATTCTTGACAAAATCCAATGAATCTGAAATATTAGAGTTTTGCCAAGTGCCTTTGGTGAAAAAAATATCTGGTTTCTTAGCAGTTTCAAGTTCAGTCTCTGGATCTGATAGGCTGAAATGTTGTGAAAGAAATGAACAAGTCATACAAGGTAAATACAACTGGTGAGTATCAACTAATATGAAATATCTTCTAAGCAAGGAATGTAGATTGGATAAAGGGTTCAGTTTGAAGTTCCGAGAAGGTTACTGAGTACGACAACAGACATCTGAAGAAATTTATGGGTGCTCCTACAAAAATCTAGATGATCAGAGCCTGGCAGCTGATCTCTCCTCTGACCTAGCTCTCTAACAGTTCAATGGAGGAAAAACTGGATTGTAACAATCAATACCTCCCATACAAGGCTAGTAACATTCCATCATCATTGAACAGATCTGGAATTTTTTCCAGTCATAATGAACAGTTGTACTCCCATTGAGGCTTCTTGTCTTGAATATCTCATATGTATGAGCTATTGCGAAAGATGCTGGAAAAATTGTCACTTCCTTGTACTGCTCCAGAAAGTACCTGACTCGTGCTATCCTCTAGCTGCCCAATCTTCTGCTGGAGCTGCCCAAACTTCATTCTCTAGCCTTGATAGAATTCAAAAGCATTTACACAGCTTTGTGAGTGGCTAATTATTTTCCACTCTGCAACCCTTTTCCCACAGATGAAACACTGCCAGCCTCTTGATACTCTATTGCTATTTTCATGGAAAATGTTCAGACAAGCTACATTTTTTAGTACCACCAATTCAGACCTTCACAATTACGACCTGCTTTGACATGTACACAGGGTTGACACCCTTATTTTGTTCATATTCTATTAGTAAAGAGGAAGTTACATTTAGATAGAACTGTTAATTTGTGAAATATACTGCCGAGATGATGCTTCAGAAGATGGTAACTGGCATTGAATTTAAATTTTTGAAAGAGATTGTAGGGAAGCAAAATGGGAAGAGTTGCAGAAAAAGATGCAAGAAAAGAAACTATTAGAATAGAATACAATTACACTTCTATTTTCAGCAGTAAAATGATAAGAACTCATTTGCCAATCTATTAGTAGAACTTAAATTCAGGCAGTAAAATTGAGATACCAATCTAAAATTCAGGCAATTGAGATACCAAGGAGGGATTGATGAATGAAAATATTTACAGAAAAAACAGAGGAAAGCCACATCATGTCGGCGGAAAAGTGACTGAAGTCAAGATAACAAGTCAGGATCAATTAAATTACTGACACATCTTTGGATTTTGTCAAGAATCTTGAGATATATAGCAAGAGCACCAGACCACATGGACAAATGGTAGATTTATAAATGTGCAACATGGATTCTGACAAGAAAAATTCTCTAGCATGATAGAATGATTATAAATTTGGTTCACTGTATGTAAGTAGAAAATGTGAGCCCAAAAAGAGTTGCTTTCCTGGAAGTTAGCATCAGGCATGCTGATGAAAGGTAAAAATGGTACTCTATGATGATTAAATGAGAGCAGTTTTGTTTTGGAAGCATTAAAATTTACAAGTCATTCCTTTCCCCAGTTAATCACTGATTGCAAGTCCTTTTTGAAAGCGGCTGTTAGTTTTACTTTGTCCAACCTATCAGGATGCTAATAAGGCAGGAGTAAATAGTTGTGTCATAAACAACTAGTTGGGAACTGATAACATCAGGAAGGTCATTGATGAAGATAAGAAGCAATGTAGGTCCAAGGATAGAGCCCTGGGAGCCCTCCTCATTAATGTGAAATGATCTGGAAATGTGCCTGTTCAACATGACCTTCATTACATCATTTGTTAAGAATAATTGGTTTATGTCAAATATTCATCCAGAGACACCATAGGCCTTGAGCTTGTGGAAAAGGCCAGCATGCCAAAACTTGTCAAATACCTTCAAGATATCTAAAGCCACGTCACAGTTCTTATCTAAAGCCTGATAATTCAGTAATAACTGTTAGCACATTGGCAGTTGACCTAGAGAAATGAAAATCATGAAAATCATACTGTTTATCTGAAAGAAGGTTGTGTGAAGTGAGATGCTTAACCAATTCAGCATTGATCAGAGCCTCCTGTACTTTAACAAAAAGAGGTAAAAGACTAACAGGGCTATAATTTCAGGGTCAGAAGGTTCACCATGGTTCTTAAAGACAAGAACTACAGAGGAGGGTTTCCAACAAGCTGGAAAGCAAGAAGTGATATATTTATTGTAGAGTTTGGGGACAGCAGGAACCAGTAATACCAAGGTGGCTAAATTTGGTATCTTTTGAAAGAAAAATCAATTTTATTTCATATAAAAACAACTTGTAACACTTGATTTTCAACAATTTAGAGATATAATTTAGTTGCATATATTCAGATTTTTCAACAATTCAGTCAGAACTCCAGTGATTTAACAAATGAAATTTCTTAAGGGTTGATAGGGTTCAATAACCTTAGCTTTTTGATTGAACAGAATTTAACAACTAAACTGTTATATTTATTTGATAGACCACATATATTTATGGGAATGGACAAAAGTTTTTTTTTTTTTTTTAAAGAACTGTTTTTTCTTTTGAATACTTTCTCTTCTTTTAATACCAAATACTTTCATCGACAAAATATTGGATTGAAACAAAAGCTTATAGTGTTTGTTAAGTGACAAAATATTTGGATTTGAAACAAAGCTTAATCTGTTCCACTATTTTTCACATTATTTGAGATAGCTTCAATTCCATCCTCTCAGAACATGGCATCTTTCTGGTCTAAGTGGTTTTTACAGGCTACCAGAAATTAGAAGTTTTTCCAATTAAGAAAATTTTGTAGAGATCAAAATAAGTTTTAATCAGAAAGTGCAAGGTCAGGTTAACATGGCAGATATAGTAAGATATCCCAGTCAAGTTGTACCAATTTCTTCCAGGTCAGTAAAGAGATGCGATGTCTGGCATTGTCCTGATAGAAGATGACACCTTCCTGATTGACTAATTCTGGACACTTTTCATTGATTTCTACCTTTAACCAGTCCAATTTGGAGTAGTAATTTTCTGAATTCAATGTCTGGTTTTGCAAAAGTAATTTGCAATACACAATGGTGTTCCAATCCTCCCAGATATGGCATCACCTTCTTTAATAAATGGTGGCTCATTTAGTTTTCCCAGTACCTTTTTCAATTCACACTGTTGTAAACAATCCATTTTTCATCACTGGTGATCTTTTTTGTTGCACTTGAGCAGAGATTAACAGATGGAAATTTTTTTCTGTTAAATCATGAAACACCCTAACATTGTAGCTATTCAAATATCCAAGCTTTACATTGCTTGTATGAATATGTGAACTATCTCTGTGATTTCCTGTATCTTATAACCTGGATTATTTTTAATTGGTGTTTCAATTTTGTCATCATCCATAACTGCAAGCCTGTTGGAATGTCACTGGTCTTCCAAATCAAAATTTCAACTTCTGAACCTAGAGAAACTGACAATCTACACACAAATTGAAATGCACTAAAATGTCACTGTTGTCTTCTAGTCTGTAATGTATAAGTCTTACCTATGTGCCAAGTAACAACTGACTTATTAGTAGTCTGCAAAATGGTGCTAGTTCATTTTGCCTATGTCACTACACCACCCGGAAACAACTTCTCCGAACTATAGTATGAAAATTTACCTCTCTCTTGATGTGTGTACATGGATTTTTTATTTGGGATCTAGGTCTGGACACATCTTCATTCCAATCTTCCAACTCCATGTCAGATTTGTGCAAACTACCTTCCATAGTTTCTTTACTATGTTCACTTTCTCCATCACAAGCACTCATGATTTTTTCCCCTTTCAGGTTCCTCCACCTTTTCCATCTCATTCTATTTGTTGTTAAATCTAGGTCTTATTTGATCAGAATGAGTCAATAAATTCTGTTCAATTATTGCTATATAGCTGTATTATGTAACTTTTGTACAATAAAGTTAGTTTTTTCAGGACTTAATTATCTTTTTTGTATCACATTATTTCATTTCTTAAATAAGACATTGTTATAGTTGATAATAGTGGAATGGTTCTATAACTCAGTAATAGTCTCGGCAGGTAATTATCTATGGTGTCTCCGGATGGGGAAAATGGCTGCAAATCTATTTTCAACACCTGCACTATTCTTTCTGCAATTCCTTTGATTGCAGGTAGTATGGTGGTGTTTTATAAGGGAGGCATCCAATTTCTTTTAACCACAAACACAAAGATTCAGCACAAAATTCAGATACATTGTCAGATACTAACATTTTTAGCACACCAATTATGGAAATTACTACTTGTGATATTTGCTTTACCGTGGCTATTCTGAACTATTCTGAACTCTAATGACTTCAGGCCATCCAGAGTATGAGTTGACCAAAGTTTTAAAAAGTCTTATATACCCATAACAAACACATGATCCATATGAACGCAAGCCCATGGTCTTCTTTTTTAGGCCATGGATGTATCTTGGTGTGACAAAATTTTTTTTTATTTCCATACATTTTGGGGCATTTTTGTATGTATTTTTGTACATCGCAAGAATGCCCAGTCCAGCAGGATTCCAATTTTAATAGCTTCTGTGTGTCTGCTATTCCACAATGAACATCATGCTGTACACTTTATATTACATCTTTTTTAATACCTCTGGTGTGTGTATGTGTGTCTGTTCATTTATATATGGGATCGTATTTCCTACATTTTTCAACCGATTTCAACAAAACTTTACAGGACTATGTAATAGAAAACACAATTGCTTT